GGAGAGGTGATGGAACAGACAGATAGATAAGCCCTGGTACTTTCCTTTTGGTTAGAGCTATGTGTATATTGATTTACTTAGGCTAAATTTCCTATTCCTTTTCTGAGGTCACTTCCTTTCCTTCTTCGGTCCCCTCGGAAAAAGGGTCCTTTCACATTACACAATTATAGCAGTATGATCCCACTAAATTAGCATAGCTACATCCTAGGATTTGTAGTCTGATGAGGCACTAGAGCTCTCTGGCTGAGAATTGAAAATACAGTGTGTTGTCTGCCTTCAAGTAATTTCCAATCGATGGCAACCCGAAGAAGAACTTATCATAGGGCTGTCATGGCAAGTTTTGTCAAAGGGCGGGTTGCCATTGCTATCCTCTGAGGCTGAGAAAGTGTGACTTGCCCAGGCTCACCCAGTGGGTTTCCATAGCTGAGCTGGGATTCGGACCCTGTTCTCCAGGGCCCTAGTCCAAAGCTCAAACCACTACCCCATGCTGGCTTTCAAAATACAGTACACCTCCCTAAACTGCAAATCCCATGGGATGAAACCATGGCAATTAAAGTGAAATCATAGTGCTATAATTCTGTTGTGTGGAAGGGCCCAGAGACAGAGAGTGAGGTGGCCCAGGGAGTCTCCACAATGGTTGCCTGAACAGACCAGTACACATAAAAACCAGTAGTAAGGGTTTCTGTAACCAATAGCATTTGCTTCCCTATAGAGAGAGATTATACCTTATAATGAGTAAAATCTCCCTATAGGGAGAGGAAATGCTAAAATTGCATACAGAAACCCCTCTTGTTGTTGTTGTGTGCCTTCAAGTCATTTCTGACTTACGGTGACCCTAAGGCAAACATATCTTGGGGTTTTCCTGGCAGGATTTGTTCAGAGGAGTTTTGCCATTGCCTTCCCCTGAGGCTGAGAGCCTGTGACCTGCCCAAAGTCACCCAGTCGGTTTACATGGCTGAGTAGGGAATCAAACCCTGGTGTCCGCTCAAACACTCAAACCACTATGCCATGCTGTCTCCCATAGAAAGTACTGGTTTTTTACACTACTACAAGTATCTAGAGAGCCGGTGTGGTAGTTTGAGCATTGGACTATGACTCTGGAGACAAGGCTTTGATTCCTTGCTCAGCCATGGAAACCTACTAGGTGACCTTAGACAAGTCACACTCTCTCAGCCTCAGAAAAAGGCAAAAGCAAATCTCCCCTGAACAAATCTTGCCAAGAAAAGCTGTGATAGGTTTGCCTTAGGGTCCCCATAAGTCAGAAATGACTTGAAGGGACACAACAACAACAACATATCTGGAGTAGCTATTCCTGCTTTATCATTATAAACTGATAGTACTAATCTGTTGCACTCCGCTAACATAAAATGCCAATTATTCTTAGAGGAATAATGTCATATGATTTTTTTAATCTTACCAGGGTGATGTAACTGAAGATATCAAGCCCAGTGGAAAACTGAACAAAAATGTCCGTGGGCGCATCTACACTGTAGAAATAATGCAGTTTGACATCACTTTAACTGCCATGGCTCCATCCTACAGAATCCTGGGATTTGTAGTTTGGTGAGGCACCAGCACACTTTGGCAGGGAAGGCTAAAGCCCTTGTAAAACTACAGAACCCAGGATTCCATAGGATGGAGCACTATAGCACTTAAAGTGGTGTCAAACTGCATTATTTCTATAGTGTAGATGTACCCTATATATGTGGTTTCTGAGTGTCCGTTTTCAGGGATGAAGCTTGTTGTTTGACAATACATGAATTACATTGTGATCAGTGAAGTGGGTTGCAGTCCACAAAAGCTTATGACTAATAAAACATGTTGCTCCTTTTTTTGCTACAACAGACTAACAAGGTTCTCCTCCTCCCTGGATTTTCAAAATGAATTTCTTTCTCGAGACTCAAAAGGAACACATTTGTTACCTTTATTTTTAAATTATTTTTGAGTTTTTGAGTTTTCAATTCTTTTTTAATTAGATTACCTAGGTCCAAAACACAATGCAGAAATAATCCAGTTTGAGACTGCTTTAACTGCCCTGGCTTTGTGCCAGGGAATCCTGGGAATTTTAGTGTATTGTGGGACTAGAGCTCTCTGACGGAGAAGGCTAAATGTCTCACAAAACTACAGGTCCCAGAATTCCCTAACATTGAGCTAGGACAGTTAAAGCAGTGTCGAATTGGATTATTTCTATAGTGTGTTTCGGACTTTAGTTGTTATTTTAATCTGCTTTGTCTCTAAGGCTGCTAGCCTGAGGTACCAAACACATTCTCACTGGCATCTCATCGTTTCCAAATGAGTGTGAAGCAGCAGCACAAGATAGACTATAAACCAGCACTTGAACCATGCAGTATTCCTCCTCCACCATCTAATATAACCACAACCTATCACAATAAAATTAACAAAAAAGTTAAAGTGACACCACAAAAGCAATAAAATGGCATCTTCTTATTAAAATCATAGGCTAATATCCCATTGGCATATAGGAATCCCATATGGGAATTTATATACACTCTCGTACACATGTGGTCATATATATATACACACACACACACACCGTATTTTCCGGCGTATAAGACGACCCGTGTATAAGATGACCCCCCCCCATTTTTCCAGTCAAAATATAGAGTTTTAGCACCTCTATCCTCATTATCCTTATATCCGGCGTATAAGACGACCCCCCCCACTTTAGCCACAGATTTTGCAGGTTAAAAAGTAGTCTTATACGCAGGAAAATAAGGCTATTTGTCTTGGTATGATATCTGTACTGTATTCAATTCACAGTTGTGTAATTGACATTCGGCTAAAGGAGGAATATAAATAAATTATTATTATTATTATTATTATTATTATTATTATTATTATTATTATTCGTTCTTGGATGGTACATAACTACCTATCAGTAGCTTCAATGGAGCACTTGATACATGGGGATTGTGGAAATAGTGAAAACATTTACAGCTATGCAGTTGGTTGCACAATGGTGGTATTTAACAGAGGGGTGGTATAGTGCAACCACCACTTAATAATGTGAGTGTAGCTTTACACTACACAAGCACAATGCAAGATTTTATCAGCATAGTGTAGTGGTTTGAGCTATGGAATATGACTCTGGAGACCAGGGTTCAAATCCTGGCTCAGCCATGGAAACCCACTAGGTGACTTTAGGCAAGTCACTCTCTCTCAGCCTTAGAGGAAGGCACTGGCAAACCCCCTCTGAAGAAAGTTTGCCAAGAAAACACCATAATAGGACCATCTTGGGGTTGCCATAAGCTGGAAATGACTTGGAAGCATACAACAACAATCACAACAACAACAACAAGATAATGATGCTTTTGATGCTGGAAAAAGGAATTTAAAAAGTGGTTATCTATAGAGCCAACGTGGTATAGTGGTTTGAGCACTGGACTACAAATCTGGAGATCTGGGTTCAATTCCCTGCTTTGCCATAGAAACCCACAGGGTGACTTTGGATGAGTCACATACTCTCAGCCCCAGAAAACCTGTGATAGGTTTGTCTTAAAGTCACCATAAATAGGAAAGAACTAGAAGACACACAACAGCAACAACAATTTGTACTTATGTCATTTCAAGCTCTGGACTAGCATGCAGGCATCAGTACCCATACACAAGGTGACCAGACATCTTCTTTTTCCAGAACATGTCCAACATTTCAGCCTTCTGTCCTGGAGGAATTCCAAAATGTCCTCCATTTTGAGCATGACTAAGAAGCATGGATTTATATTCATGTTTTTAGCTTTTCTTTTGCAATGTCCTACATTTTGCTTGAATGTCCTGCATTTTGCGGTGCCTTGTCCTTTTTTGCGGTTATGAATCTGGTCATCCTGCTCCATACAGTCTAGGATAGAAACCAGTAATTTTGGCGCAGTGGTTAAATGCCTGTACTGCAGCCACTCACTCATAGACCACAAGGCTGCGAGTTCAATACCAGCCAGGGCTGAGGCTCGACTCAGGCCTGCATCCTTCCGAGGTCGCTAAAATGAGTACCCAGATTGTTGGGGGACAATCAGCTTACAGTTGTAAACCGCTTAGACATCCCATAGCGCGATATGAAGCGGTATATAAATGAAGCTGCTTTGCTTTGCTATGGACAGTGTAGCATGGTTACAGTGCCCACATTTTTCTTATTTTCTCTTCTTTTCCCTTTTCCTTCATGGCCGAATCATTGCAGTCAGGATATGGAATGTGTTGCCTGCTGGCTTGCAATTCCCATTAGCCCTAGTCGGCATAGCTGGTGGTGAGGGATTATGGGACATGCAGTCCAGCTGCACCCAGAGAGCCACAGATTCTCATCCCTAACATATAGGATACCCTGGCCTTTCCAACAATGTAAGAGATCTATATATTAGCTGTACTTTCCTTGTGGAGTTTGACTCAGCAGTGAGTCACCAAGAGTGTGATTTAACACTGGGGTTGTGAACAAACTCTGTTTGCTCAGTCCTCTATTTTTGGACAAAGTGGAAGGCTTTTTCTTGTGGCCATCCTCCTTTTCCAAATTGTCATCTCATCACACGGGCTTTACATAACAAAGCTGTTATGTGAAGTGTGATATGAAGTGCAGAACAAGTGGGCAGACTGGGGAAGGTGGGGGAAAGACGGCTGGCTGTGAGTGAGAGCGAACAGGATTTGTTTCTTCATCCGCTGCTTAAAGTTTCTCTCTCGGCAACTGAAAGACCTAGAAGCGTGGCTTGGCAGATATTATAATGGTGTTAGTGTGCTGCTATATTCTTTTCTCAACTACTGGCTGAAGTGTTTACATGATCTCCTGCCAATGATATAGCTGTTGGTTATGTATGAGGGAATATGCTGTCTCTCGTTTGCATTCTTCCATCTTTTCTCAGTCTGGTCTCTGTAGAATGGGCACCAAAGCAAAGCAAAGCAAAGCAAAGCAAAGCAAAGCAAAGCAAAGCAAAGCAAAGCAAAGCAAAGCAAAGCAAAGCAAAGCAAAGCAAAGCAGCTTCATTTATATACTGCTTCATACCGTGCAATGGGATGTCTAAGCGGTTTATAACTGTCAGCTCATTGCCCCCCAACAGTTGGGTACTCATTTTAGTGACGGAAGCTATATGAAATTGCAGCTGGCAAGGTTTTTAAAAAGTAGATTTGCTGGCTGCACAAAGGCTCTGTCAAATAGAATCATAGAGTTGGAAGAGACCACAAAGGCCACCCAGTCCAACCCCATTCTGCCATGCAGGAACTCAAAATCAAAGCATCCCCGACAGATGGCCATCCAGCCTCTGTTTAAAGACCTCCAAAGAAGGAGACTCCACCACTCTCCAAGGAAGTGCCTTCCACTGTGGAACAGCTCTTATTGTCAGGAAGTTCCTCCTAATGTTGAGGTGGAATCTCTTTTGCTGTAGCTTGCATCCACTGCTCCATGTCCTATTCTTTGGAGCAGCAGAAAACAAGCTTGGTCCAGCCTCAATAGACATCCCTTCAAATATTTAAAAAGACATACAACTGAGCACTAAGGTCAGAATCGTTCAGGCCATTGTATTCCCAATTACCATGTATGGATGTGAGAGCCGGACAGTGAAGGAAGCAGACAGAAAGAAGAAGAATACAGTTGTCCCTCCATTTTCGCAGACCTGGAAGTCCAGGTCCCTCACCTGTTTGCGGGTGGCAAATGGAAGGGGGGCTTGAATATTTGTGGTTTTCTGTTTTCACGGGGGGGGGGGAATGGATCCCCCACAAAAACAGAGGGGTGACTGTACTTATAATACCATGGACAGCCAAGAAGACAAACAAATGGGTTCTTGAACAGACCAGACCAGTGCTCTCCTTGGAAGCAAAGATGATCAAGTTGAGACTATCGTACTTCGGCCATGAGAAGGCATGGATCACTGGAAAAAAGCAATAATGCTAGGAAAGGTGGAGGGTAGAAGAAAAAGAGGAAGATCACAAACCAGATGAATAGACTCGATCAGGGGGATTATGGGCAAGGGCTTGCAGGGTCTGGGCAAGGCAGTGGAAGATAGGGGTTCTTGGAGATGTCTCATCCACAGGGTCGCCGTGGGTCAGAACCCACTCGAGGGCAGCTAACAACAACAAATCGTATCACTTCTTAACCTTCTCTCCTCCAGGCTAAACATACCCAGCTCCCTAGGTCTCTCCTCATAAGGCATGGTTTCAAAACCCTTCACCATCTTGGATGCCCTCCTCTGGACATGCTCCAACTTCTGAACATCCTTTTTGAATTGTGGTGCCAAGAACTGGATGCAGTATTCCAGGGGAGGCCTGACCAAATCAGAATAGACAGGCCCTATCATTTCCCTTGATCTAGACCAGGGACCGGCAACCTTTTTGAGACCTGGGCC